TATATACATATATATATATCAGGGCTATTCCCAATTCCCTCCGCCTGTAAACGCCTTTTTTCTTCACTACAACTGGCTTCAGTGGTACATGTTACAGTCATCTACCGGCAACTGCTTAAATTAAAACTTAAATACTTTCGGAATAATTTCATATGTTCTTTTTTGCCATATTCGTCTTCTTTTTTTTTTACTATAACGCTTCGAAATCCCGGAGGGAATTATGAATAACCCTGTATAATATCAGTCACCCAAGAGACTCTTGAATACAAACTGTTTATATTTTTTAATTTGTCTGTAATAATTTCAAGATGAATGGGATATGGTTCTTCCGCTCGGCCCAGGTGCCCAGATTCTGTTAAGTAAAGTAACAGTAATATATATATATATATATATATATATATATATATACACACACNACTAAATTGTAGAGAAGCAAGAATGGTAAAAGCAATAGTCGTTATCAAGACACATCTATTGCTATAAATGCGATATTTCTGAATAAAGAATAATTATCCAAAGATAAAAATTATTATTTATATGTGTCGATATCGCAAAAAACTTATAGTTGAAAAATTATGAAATAAAATTAAAAAGTAATCAAACTTACCGGCGTGTAGCAAGATGCGGTTTTAGATTTAAAAGTATAATAAGTAAACAGTTAGTGAAATTAGCGAAGAGGAAAATATTTGAAGTGGTGCTTATAGCTTGAATCGAATAAAATAAAACAATATATTTGATCGAAGTAGAAAAACTTTTAAGTAATTCTAATATTAGTGCTGCCATCTATGAGAAGAATTAATAAAAATTCGGAAATTAAATTATTAAAACCCAAAAATGTAGAAAAACATTCATTTCGATCCTATTATTTATAGGGTAACTTATTTAAAAGTCATAGCCTGCACATTATACGGATAGAAAGCCGTTTATAGACTTAATCCTTCATTCGTACATCCTTACATAATTTTAAAGAATACACATTTCTATCATTCATAGGGTGACTTATTTAAAAGTCAGAGCCTGCACAGCACTGCATTCATTAGGGTGGTTATTTATTAACCAGAGCCCATTCCCTTTTTACAAAAATAATGATAATAATAATAATAAAAAAAAGAATTTTTTTTTAAATAAATAAATAAATAAACTAAACTGTTTATTATACTGGATAATTAAAATAATCGAATCAATATTAAGAGGCTACAAATTATTAAGAAGTAAATTAAATTTTTTTTTAACCAATCCAGTACAAAAGGTCATACATCCAAACTGTTCCGTCCAGTGGCTTTAGAAACAGTTTATCACAGTTAGTTCCTACCTTAAAAAAATCAGAGCTCATTCTAAAAGTAGAAAAGTTAAATAAAAATAAATAAAAATTAGTGTTCAAAGTTATATATATATATATAAAAGTCATTCAAATGAAACCTGGTCAGTCCGTCTAATTTTGCATTAAACGTAATGGGGGGCCACGTAACTGTGTGTATGGCGACACCATCTATTGGTAGAGGGATTGACACATGCACAACGTTTGACGTTGCATAGCGACTGTATGGTTGCACGCCGAAGAGAAATTTGCGCCCTAGTTATCATCCACACACGGCCAATGCGGTGAAGACGACATTGCGGCAGTTTCGGTGGGAAACGCTGGAACATCCACCGTACAGCCAGACATTTCACATTACGACTTTCATGTTCTTGGACCTCTAAAACAGGCTATTTTCGGACATCGATTCACAACGGACGACGACGTGTGTGACTGAGTCTAGACAGCCTACTAGCTTTTTCAAAGATGGAATCGATCGGCTGGTGTCGCAATGGGATAAATGTGGCAACAGTTTTCGGGACTATTTTTGAGTATGTGTACTGTCAGGGGTGGCCAACCTGCGGCTCGCGAGCCACATGCGGCTCTTTGAAGGATTATTTGTGGCTCTCGATAAATGTATCCGAGTTCCCTTTTAATTTTTGTGCTATTATATTTGAAAAAAACTATTATCGTTCCTTGTGTGTTTCATAGTGTCTTTTAATGTTCGCATTTTTAGATGGTTATCTAGCTACAGCGTATTAAATCGTTTTGTAGATTTGTTTGATCCGATAACTGCATTTCTTAAAGAAAAAGAAATAACCTATAGAGAATTAGACGATGACGAGTGGTTACCATATTTAATGTTTTTAACTGATGTCATGGAACATTTGCAAACATTGAATTTACAATTGCAATGGAAAGATAAAATAATATCTGACCTCTCACAGGCCAGTTTAGTTTTCAAACTAAATTACAACTTTTTCAGAAGGACATTGTGGCAAAATGTTTAAAAATAAAACATTTTGTAATTTTAATCCAATTAAAAAAACTTGTTCTAATATTAAACAAGAAAAACTCAACGAGCAATGATTTTCTTTATTACTCTCAACCTCATACATCTTAATCCAGACTACACTTTTGTCGTTCAATAGCTATCAAAACTATATTTATAAACTTTAATTAAATAAAAAAAATCTAACTTAATTTGTTTGGCCCATAGCGGCTGTTTTTTACAGTTTCTGGCTAAAATTCTTTATAGTGGTAGTCATGTAAAAATTGTGTTTACAGTTGTTATCGGGAATTATTTCAAATATGTAAATGCTTATAAACTTGAAAAAAAAAATCAGAATTTCATGGTGGTAAAATTATGGCGTGAAGGCCAAAATCATGATTAATCAATATTGTTAAAGATAAAAAATATTAATCGATNCATAGTTGCCAACTTTCACGTTTTCTGATGCAGATAATATTTTTCAAGTAACAAAATACCAAGTAACAAATATATTAATAATATTTTGCAAATATGCAAGCATCAAAATAATGATTTAATTTACAATATCAAGTAGTAATGATTTTCTTTATTACTCTCAACCTCATACATCTTAATCCAGACTACACTTTTGTCGTTCAATAGCTATCAAAACTATATTTATAAACTTTAATTTAACAACAAAAATATAACCTAAATTGTTTAGCGCATAGCGGCTGTTTTTTACAGTTTCTGGCTAAAATTCTTTATAGTGGTAGTCATGCAAAAATTGTGTTTACAGTTGTTACCGGGAATTATTTCAAATATGTAAATGCTTATAAACTTGAAAAAAAATCAGAATTTCATTGTGGTAAAATTATGGCGTGAAGGCCAAAATCATGATTAATCGATACATTTGCTACCAATTTGAGAATAAAAAGAATTGTGAAAAGTAAGCCTCAATACTGATAACTGAAAAGTACCTTTTGAATGCAAAAAGTTAAAATACCGTGTGCACAGGTTATTTGCTTCTTTAAGACCTGCCATACGACCGCATAATCTATAGTTATGGAGGTTTTTTTCTTTTTTTTTAGCATTAATCTTGCGTTGAGGTATGAGCAATGAGGTATTAGGCCAGAAAAACTTTTCCCAAAAGTAAAAATTTTACATGGGCATTTTTACATCATACTCATCATTACTGAAATCGAGGTATTTTTCGCAAAAATACACAACCGTGAAATTTTTAAATATTGGTTTATCATTTTGTATTGTACAGACCCTTTTATATTGTAGATTTATAAAGAAATAAAAGATATTTATTTTCCTTTTATCGCCAGAACCATTTATGATGTCAAATTATTTCATTTAAGTTATGGTGTATTTGAAAATTGACAATAAAGTGAATGTCCCTGTGGATTGTGAAGTTAAAGAAGACCTGGCATTTACAGCAGTGGAGATTTTTATTTAGTGAGTATAACTTTTCTGTTCATTGTTTTCATGTGTCAATTCTGCTGACAAAAGGAACTTCCAAAAGTAATTTATCCTATATTTTTGAAATAAAAAATTTCTCATTTTTTGCTGTAAAATTGCATCGGTCTAGAAGTTTAATATTTTTTCTACGTAATCTATATTTAGGTCGATGCATTGTAGATACTGTATTAATTTTTGCTTACTCATGTCATACCAGCATGCCTTCCCTATGTTTTTGAAAAAGCACTGTACTTATTTTTCACATCGTATCTAGTTAAATCGTTGCTTTCTTGAAATGATTATAATCTGTGAATAATTGAATGATTATCATCTCCCACCCTATAAGCCTGCCTTTTCCCTTTTTCCCTCAGCGACTAAATTGAAAAAAAAATATGTGGCAGAAATAGAAAAGAAGATGAGATTAAAGATTTAGTCCAATACAAGAGCTTATTTAGGTACAACATGGGGCATACAAATAAAGTCACATCGTGTATAAAAACGTACAATACACAAGGGATAATAAAGAATTGCACACTACACGTAAATACAGACATTCAATTGAGTAGAAGACTTAAATGACCATGAAATAGCTCAAGGCCTGGTTTCTTAGGACAGGACGCCGTCAGCTGGAAATCAGCGCTAACCTCTGATTGATCCATTTGTGAGTTTGATAGTATACGTCATCCAACGCTCATCTTGAACTACAATTGCCGTCCAACTCAACTGCAGTTGGATTACAACGTGACGTTAACCACAGAAGCAATGGCGGACAACATCCAACAGCACATTGAAATCAGCCAAGATTTTGATTTTGACATTAAACATAGCTTCTTCATTAAACATAGCACTCTTCATTTAGCTCAGCTATAATGTGTTTTCTCTTGGACAAAGTCATTTTTTGTTCTCTAAAGCACTGGTCGATAATAACAAAATCAATACAAATTCAAAATAAATATTTGTTTACGTTATTAACGCATGCGCATTAACGCATGCATGAGAGATAATGTCTGCGTTGAACCGACTGCTCACGCTGAGCTAACAAAAAAGTATTTCTTTGGCGTCACCTCTACATCAGCTTTCCGCTGACGCCCAGATAAGGCGCTAGTTCTAAGAAACCAGGCCTTGAGCTAACAAACCAGTATTTTGTTGGTGTCAGCCGGACGTTGACGTCCCGCTGACGCCCAGATAAGGTGCTTGTCCTAAGAAACCAGACCTTCAGTTGAAAAAGCAAATAAGTGACACTTTCAAAAGGTATTAGGTCTACCTCTTTAAAATGTTTAAACTGGTTTAAAAGAAATTTATTTGATACAAGTCAATATTATTCCAATCCACGAGGAAAAGCTATATCTTTTCTGTTTCTCAGAGGAGTAGAAATTCCGTGATTATTATGATAACATACATTGATATGTAACAAAAAACGATTAATAAGCTAGGTAGAATGTCTACTGCCTTAAACAAAAATCAAGAAGTGTAACTTTTAATTGCTAACTTCGCTTTCAATTCCTACAATTAGTTCTCACTCTCCCTATATATATATTTATATATTTAGTTCAAATTTTCTATCTTTAATTAAGTACTTTTTTTTTCATCCACTCTTCAAATACATTTTTTAAAGCTTGTAGTGGAAAACACTTGATGTGAATACACTTTTTTCAAATATTAATTCATTAATTAAATATTATTAACTAGTTTTAGATGGGAGAATAAAAAAATTTCCCTTATATAAGATATTTATCTTTAAGTAGGAATTGACTTTAATTCTTTTTATATTACTTGTTAAAAACTAATCTAGGTTGTCACGGGCAACAAAAATACACCGAATGTGGGGATTGATGAAATTCAAAATTTTATTAATAGACATTTAATTTTGCAACGTTTTCTAGCAATCTTTTAGCTTTGCGGCAGTGGCGAGTAACAGTACAGTATTGTAAAACAGTATTTTCTAGTGGTAGCGAAATTTAAGTTACTTTGAATTTTTTCACCACTAAATTTTAAAAATTATGTCTTATATAAAACGCAACGTCATAGCATCGTTGCTCTGGCTACTCCATTAAAAAGTAGGCGTAACTATCCTTCTTTAACAAATTTTCTATATAATTTGTTTCCACTTTATTAAAAATATTCTAGAAAGTGGAGCAGGTGGCATCCCTTGTGGATGAATTCTTCCTTTTTTGTTTTAAATATGAATAATTTGAAATGTAAATCATAGTGGAAGTTACGATTGAAAAATTTAAGATATAATGAATAAAAAAAGCGAATTTAGATTTTACATTTTCGGATTTCTGGGGTCCAAAATATAGTAGCCGCTGTCTGGAAAATAGGGTTCCAATAGTTTGGTCAGGAGAGCGGTCCAAAGCTTGGACTCCTTAATGTTAATTTCACTTTTCATGTATTTCGCTTATATCGAGAACTTTTTAAGCGAAGTGAAATTTTTTTACACACAATTATAAAATTCGTTTAACCAAAGATAATTCCATGCAGAAAGTTCTTTTTAGTAAATATTTATTACTTTTTATTATTTTATTTAAAAATGGTCGAAAAAATTTTGAATTGTGAGGTATGCATATTTTTATTTTTTTGCATTGTTTTAACGAATGCAATTTGATACAGCTAAGTACATGAGCAAATGAGGTCGAATAGTGCCTGAGAAATTGTATTTCAAATAAGTCAAATACTTACATTTATATATAAAATTGATTTATAAAATTGATTGAATCCTAGAACGTATAAATCGATCCCACGGTTCTTGAAAAACTTCAGTAGTGGTAGTAAATTTAGGTTACTGCTAAAAGATATTTCTTATTTTCGTTAAGTGGGTAATAAGCCAGAACTTTATTGCGTATAAAATTTATTTGGAAATCAATTTTTAGTGGTAGATACGCAGAAATTAAGCTATCGACATTTGTTTAATTTTCGTTACCACTTTTTAAAATTTAAAAGACTCTCGGTAACCCTGGTAAAGATATTTTTTATCTATAATTTTTGAGGTATTTTCATTTTCCTATTAATATTATTTAAATACTTTTTTCTATGTAATTATTTTTCGAGCATCTTTTCAGATTTATTTTTAGAGTATTTTTAAAAGGGATTCCATACTGTTTGGGAACCCCTGAGTTATATGATGTATTATAAAAAAAGGTTAAATGAATAAAAAATTAATTTTCTTCNTATTTGCTGCTAAAAAATGGCGTCTGATTCAGTCAATGACTTTGATGGAACTAAATGAAAACGTGATAAATTAATGTCCGATATTTACAGGCTCCCGCTAGACGGCGTACTCGAGCGTTGCGATCGCGAATATTTATCTTTAAGTAGGAATTGACTTTAATTCTATTTATATTACTTATTAAAAACTAATCTAGGTTGTCACGGGCAACAAAAATACACCGATAGATGAAATTCAAAATTTTATTAATAGACATTTAATTTTGCAACGTTTTCTAGCAATTTTTTAGCTTTGCGGCAGTGGCGAGTAACAGTACAGTATTGTAAAACAGTATTTTCTAGTGGTAGCGAAATTTAAGTTACTTTGAATTTAGTATTTTCATTTTAAGTAATTTTTTCACCACTAAATTTCAAAAATTATGTCTTATATAAAACGCAACGTGAGAGCATCCTTGTTCTGCCTCTTCCCCCCATCTCCATTCCACCTAACTACTCCTCATGATCGAATTACTACTACAGATGAATCGGTTAATGCCGCTTCGCGGCAGCGCACCGAGATTTATATGATTTCTACCATCCTTGTTCTGGCTACTCCATTAAAAAGTAGGCGTAACTATCCTTCTTTAACGAATTTTCTATTTAATATGCTACCACTTTATTAAAAATATTCCAGAAAGCGGAGCAGTCGGCATTCCTAGCAGATGATTTTTTTCTTCTTTTTTTAAATATGAATAATTTGAAATGTAAATCATAGTGGAAGTTGCGATTGAAAAATTTAAGATATAATGAATAAAAAAAGCGAATTTAGATTTTACATTTTCGGATTTCTGGCGTCCAAAATATAGTAGCCGCTGTCTGGAAAATAGGGTTCCAATAGTTTGGGCAGGAGAGCTGTCCAAAGCTTGGATCCCTTAATGTTAATTTTACTTTTCATGTATTTCGCTTATATCGAGAACTTTTTAAGCGAAGTGAAAATTTTTTTACACACAATTATAAAATTCGTTTAACCAAAGATAATTCCATGCAAAAAGTTCTTTTTAGTAAATATTTAATACTTTTTATTATTTTATTTAAGAATGGTCGAAAAAATTTTGAATTGTGAGGTATGCATTTTTTTTTTTTTGCATTGTTTTAACGAATGCAATTTGATACAGCTAAGTACATGAGCAAATGAGGTCGAATAGTGCCTGAGAAATTGTATTTCAAATAAGTCAAATACTTACATTTATATATAAAATTGATTTATAAAATTGATTGAATCCTAGAACGTATAAATCCGATCAAAATATATTCAGCGTGATGCGTTTTTTTTCTGTACACTTCTCTTTTAATGATTATGCAAAAGACTCTTTTATGAAAGAAATTATACGGTATTAACTCGTTAGTAATGTTCTATTTTAAAGAGATTGTGCAAATGAGCATGTGCATACATATTCTAACTTGTAACAATTGTTTCCGACAGAACTAGGTGGTGCATCTGTAATGTAAATTGAAGGGTGTATGACCTACCACTGTGTTCAAAAAAAGGTACCTTTTGCATCCTTGTATAATCATGGAGAAAATTTTCTTGTAGCAGAGATGCCGATTGCTCCGAATGGTACAAAATATTTTTAAAACAGCATTAGTAATAATGTAGATTTGAAGTATAACTTGAAATCTGCAGCTTTTTGGGTAAATTCGCTAGAATTTCCGAAGTTTTGAAGCTGCATATCTACAACTTCAATCAATTAAATCTTTGAAGTTTTTAGTAGTGGTAGAAAACACACTATAAATCGACTTTACTAATCTAAGAATCATACTTTAAAACATGCACGTTGCTACCACTGGATATCCTCAATCCGGAGCAAGTTGGTTTGTTGGAGCACTGGGGCTGTAGGTTTCAATTTATAATTCACAAAAATAACATCGCATGGTCGCATTAATACGAGTATGTTTAAATGTGCTTTTGCTTTCACGATAATTTCGACAAAACTAATCACATTAATTTTGAAAATGCTTGCATGAATGCTATTTCAAATTAGTTTGAGTATTAATTTAAAAGTAATTGAAATTAAGAAAATTTAAGTAAAAAAAATTATGTTTCAAAATCCAAAGTTATAAAACAGAGGAGGTTGTACCGAATACAGAAGAGACAGTTTTTATTTTTAAAAAAAACATTTATTTCAACAATCTACAAGGCTTATATCATTTCCAATTCTCGTAACGGGTTAGTGCACTCATTAAAAAACAGTTTTAACTAAAATAAATGTATAAATAAAATAAAAACTAGCTCTCCGACGTTCCAAAATCGTCTGCTTCATTTACTGTTTTTTCATTAAGCTTGTGTTAGCTGGATATTCTTAGGGAATTAGGGAAGATTTTAAGTGTTTTGTTCTGAAGACGACAAGATCATAAAAAAATTTATTAACAAAAAAGTGAACCTCTGTTAAAGTAGAGACCCGACCGTCCTGGTTATAACCACTCGTGTCAGGTTGCTCTCTACACTAAAAATTACTCGCATTTATCTCGCCCTGATCTGATCCATTAGTGGTTGCTATCAGACTATATCAAGTTATATCAGACCTTTGGCTCACTTTTATGTTATTCTCACACTTAAAAACATGCACTGAGTAAAAACACACAGATTGTCAAAACCTTGTTAGAGATTTTAACTGATAATTTAAACATGGCTTCCACGGTTCTTGAAAAACTTCAGTAGTGGTAGTAAATTTAGGTTACTGCTAAAAGATATTTCTTATTTTCGTTAAGTGGTTAATAAGCCAGAACTTTTTTGAATATAAAATTTCTTTGGAAATCAATTTTTAGTGGTAGATACGCAGAAATTAAGCTATCGACATTTGTTTAATTTTCGTTACCACTTTTTAAAATTTAAAAGACTCTCGGTAACCCTGATAAAGATATTTTTTATCTATAATTTTTGGGGTATTTTCATTTCCCTATTAATATTATTTAAGTACTTTTTTCTATGTTATTATTTTTCGAGCATCTTTTCAGATTTATTTTTACAGTATTTTTAAAAGGGATTCCATACTGGTTGGGAACCCCTGAGTTATATGATGTAATATAAAAAAAGGTCAAATGAATAAAAAATGAATTTTCCTCATAATATTCTCCTCTAAGGGAGCAATCTCGTCGTTTGACACTAAGGAATGAGGTATGATTTCATCTCAATTTAATATGATCCTTTGTACAAGATATTTGGAAATGTGTGTTAAAAAGTTTGGGAAATTTATTTCATAACTGTAAAATTTTACTATTGTAGCGTAAACAAAAATATTAACGCCTTAACTCCTTAAACTTTCTTTTTTATCCCTTTTAGCATATTATTCAGCTTTTTAATCTGCATGGTAGTGCTAGGAACTTCATTGGATATTCTAATCAGAAATAATCCAAATAATGATTTTGAAAAAAAGGAGAAAAGTAAGTTTTTTATTTAAAAAAAATACAGTAGAACCTCGGTTTATTATTTTTCATGGGACTATTCATAGCTAATGATAGATGAGGAAAAACGACGAATGTTTGCTGAGATAAAATTTCAAATAATGACTTGAAAACATATGAAAAGTAATAAAAACAATAGAATTGGAAATTAAGAATTAAAAAAATTGTTTTAATTAATAAATTAATTATGTACTTATTGTAAAATAAAGCGAAATAAATACATTTATTTATTCAAAATATTTGGAAATCTTAGCTTATAAACACTCTTTTCTTTTCATCGCAAACATTATTTTTTCGACTTAGTAATAAACAATGTTCGGAAGTAGCTAGCACACTACAAGCAGTGAAACTACTGTTGTCGCTGATTTTTTTGTAGTTAGTCGTGTAGTATGCTATTTTTTTTAAAAAAAAAGTAGTGTGGTGAGTAGAGCGATACAAAAAAAAAAAAAAAAAAAGAAACAGTAGTTTGCAGCGATTCCTGGCAATTACTTTTAATCTTAGATTAGAATAGAAACACGGTTCTAACGCAACTAATTATTCGAATTAGATGAGTACAAATTTGCTCGAGTCCGTCAATGGATGCAATGGAAATGACCCTGTTTCTGCAGCTGAGCGTTAACAGAAACGACGTATTTAAAATTACGTATAATTAATATTTAAACTAGCCATTACGAAAAATAGATAATTAATCACTTAGGTCTCACTTTCACATGCGAGTGCACATTCTTGAAACATTGATGTTATTTCGAAAAAGGGGAACGTATTGTCAATGCCTTTAACTTCTTAAAGAAAAATGAGCATCAACAATTAAAAAATTGTAAGCATTCGATAATTTCGGATTTCTTGAATTTAATATTTGTTTTAAAAGGCATACAAAGTTGAAGGTTAAAAAAAGAAATTCGAAAAAAAAGTTTTGGAATAACATGAATAAATATTTCTTAATTATGCCTTATATTTAATATTAGCCAATATCTTATTCGAAATCCTTTCGAATATAGGCGTAAATTAAGTTCTCCAGCTAAGCACGTCTCCTTAAAGTAACAGTTACTAAATTTCAAAGTTGTTTCTAGTCACCACCTTTAAAAAAAAAGTAGTTGCAATTGTAGTTAACTACGTTTGTAACAAAGTAGCTGTAGTTGTAGCAAACTACAAAATTAATTTAGTTTTTCCGACCACTGGTAACAGATCACTGATGTTCAATTTCTTTAATTTTTAATGTTTTCAGAAAGTTCCTTATTATTTCAAAGGCTTTAAGAATTTCCAACAATGTTTTCACCTATTGTGGTTCTGTTTCGTCATCTTCATCAACATCACTTTACATTTCTTCGGCTTTTACAACAATTTCCTGCACAGTCAACATTACAAGTTCAATTTTTTCATCAACTGATGCATATTTATTTAATGTGTAGCTTGAAGCGTCTCTTCCAAATTATAACAAATCCTCATTTTCTGCATCATTACCATCAGTATTACTGTTTTCCATTTCAAAACAAAATAACTTCAATGCATGTCTTAAGAGAGCTCGCCTCTTCATGAGGTAACCCTGGTTTGAATCCCAGCTATGGCTGGTTGATACGAAATCCGCACCTGGCTTTCACCGACCACAGTGTTGACGTAAAATATCCTCATTGATAGACGGATTAGGGGGTAAGAGTAGCCTTGGCATCAGGCTAACCATGAATTGTTTTTGTCGTTTTCTTCCTCATGTAACGCAAATGTTTATATATCCATCATAAAGTCCTCCACCAAGGCTAATTTGTCCCAATGTTTTATTCAGGAGTTCTCTTGTCTTCTGGATTGGGTTCAAAATTACAATAATACTGATTTGAACATTGGTAGTCGTGAGCTCAAAATTGGGTCAGCTGTTCAGCGACCGTTATAAAATACTTGTTTTAAATGACGGTAGAATTTTTGAACGACGGTCACGGAATATGCTAGTTTTAAAAAACGAGCTAAGAGGATATTATTAGCATTATAGGTATGCATAAATGACGGGATCGTTAAAATAAGATTGTGCATACGGGTAAACGAAAAATTCGGGATCGATGGATCGAGGTTCGACAGTATATTATTCATGTATCATCAGCCCATTAAATATCACTTTAACTTTATTTTAATTTCCAGGTGCAGGAATTAAAGCATTATTATGCTTTTCTTTATACACAAATTTCATTAATCTTTTAAAGGAAGACAACAATCCAGAAACTCTACACATATTCCATGGTCTTCGAGTATTGTCCATGACTTGGATAATATGGAGTCATTCATATCTTGTTGTTAGTTTCCGACCATTAGGTAAAAAAAAATTCAACCTTTTCAATGTTTATTTTGCTATTAAAAATCTTAAGTACATTTGCGAAATAAATAATTATAAAAAAATATATAAATGAAATAAGATCATAGGTGACAGAAGAAGAAAAGCAACAAATGAAAGAAATTGAAGTGAATTAAAATTAAAAATGTACACAAAAATCTGTAGATTTATGAAAAAATAATGAGAATAACGCTATATCTATTTCAGGGAGAATTTCTTTTGTTCGCACATGTTTAGGAAAATTTCCCTAACACACTTTAAAAAAATAATGATCAAAGCTTTCAGAAACGCAATGTCCAGTGATCTGCCAAAATGAATTAAAATAGTTGTAAACAAATGAGCAGTGTAAGTATAAATTTCCCTGATCTAGCAATCATTTTAGTTATTTTCACCCGGTGTGTAGCTCATTTCTATATGTGCAAGGCTGCCAACTTTTGTTGATTGTGTATAAAATATTTTGTGAAAGGCGTGTAGTATTTGGCAACCCTGTATATGTAAAAACCACTAATGTCTCTATATAATATAAAAAGATAGAAGTATGATGCTTGGCAGTCACGTGACTTCAACCAATCAGAAACGACAAATGGCGCTGACCATTAGCAAATTTTTTGGCTTCCAATTTATTCCGTTTGATTTGTTACAACTCAACTTCCAGCATGAAGTGTTTTCACTTGAATGTTTATACTTCGTTTGTTTTTATGCATTCGGTTATTTTTATAAGTCTTTAACTTTTCAAATTCTGTTTTTGAAACGGAACGTAGTTTGTGTTTTTTTTGTTGTTTTGTTTATATCTTTATAAAATGGAAAGTAGCAACTCTCGCACTCGGAAAAATCAACTAGGCCGCAGTGACGAGCAGAGAAAACGGCAACGTGAGAGAAGTCGTAGAAATTATATAAAAAATAGACAACTTAACATAATAAACAGTCGTCGACGCAAAGCTCGAGTTGTAGCTACAAAACGGGTTGAAAATCAATACCTAGGTGAATGTCTGAGCGACGACTGCCCTACGCTTTCAATTGGTGGCATGAATGTAAAATGTGATTACTGTGATGCTTAGTTTTTCGAAATGCGCACGGAAGAATCAAGAATAATTGTTGCCATCATGGTTAAATTGAACTAGAATCCCCCCAGTACCCTGAAGCACCAAGAGAATTATTATTAGGACACTGATGCACAACATTTCATATTAAAATATTCATATTTAATTCAAAAACATTCCGTACATTCACTCTCAATAGTTAAATGAATAAATTATTCCAGGAAAAGTAAAGATTTCAAATTTTTACTAGTCACCACTTTTTCCATTTTTAGTCACCCGTGGCATTTCTGTATTACTAATTAATATTTAAATAACGCAAAATTCAGAATTAAATTAGTCGCAGAATAAACTGACTACAGAGTATTTTAAGCAGGTGTAGCACAGGGGAGCATCCATTGTTCCCTATTTTATATTATTTCACTTCCCACATAAGTACGAGAATAAGCAAGATATTATAGCTTTCTATGTGAAAGATATCACTCTTTACCACAATCAATAAGACTATAATATTACTGCATACGGAGAATTTGAAGATTTTAAAAACTGGTGCCTTAGGTGGCGAACAAAAATGCACCCTGATAAGTCTAATTTGCTAACTGTTCGAAATAAAAAAAGTTTATAAGCCTATCAACCAAAACTTAACTCTTTTCATCCAATTAGTAACTACTGTTAAGAAGCAATGTAGGCTGTGGTAGCTTAGTGGTTAGAGCAACGGCCTTTGGTTCGGAGGCACCGGGAATCGATCTTCGAAGCCTCTAAGACCCAACAAGTACATGCGTCCTCATAAAGTCCTGTGGTCAGTCATTCAACAGTACCATGGGTACAGGGATCTGAAAAAAACTTCCTTTCAATTCAGATCTATGTCTAAATTGTGCAAGTGGCCTCACAAATGAGTGGTGCTACCTTCTACCCGAGGATCTGAGCTAAGTCGCACTTTCACCCTAGAGATTCTCTCTAGTCGAACGAAAGGAGTTTCTTCCTGACTTAATTTGCAAGAGCAATGGCTGACGACATTGACTTGCCCAAGCGTCATTAGAAACATCCACCAGAAAGCAAAGTGCTTAAGACTTAACATAAATAATAAATTCACTTGAAATGATCATATCAAATTGACTGCTCAAAAAGCACAAGTTTTATTCTAGTTGCTGAAACCAATTTTTCATCCTGACTCACCGATCAGCATCAACAATAAAAGTCTCAAATGTTTTCATCCTATTTTAACTTATGCATCTCCATTATCAAACCCTTACAAATAAACTCTCAACAACTGAAGGAAAGATTATCATCAGCAACTAAAAGATAAAACTTGAGATCGAAGACATAAATATCCACATCGCAAAGCTTAACTTCAATTTTTGCATAGAAGCCCAGAACAATGATGCCTTAAATTTTAACTTCAAATTTAGTCCGGTGATGCTATTTTTACTCTCAGACACCAGTCTGAAAAGCTTACATACCAATAAGGATTAATAAGCTAATACTAACGCAATCAATATTATCTTGTAAATACTGTATATCGACATTTATTGCTAAGATTTGATTGGGGAGTAACCCTTCTACAAAACAGAGGACAGCCTTGGAGGATTCCATTTTGGCTCTTCAATTTCATTTACCTTTTGTATTTACTATAGTCTTTCGGCTAATATTTTGACTTGTAAATAGCTGTGTTTTCCGGCTTGTATATAGTTTTAACTATTGCTCCCCATTTCCTTGTTTTTAATTTTGTACCTAGGTTATAAATTGAGATTAAGATAATTCATTTATGATGCTAAATAATTACATCCCAATCAGGGAGTGTGCCAATTAATTATTTAAACAGTTATCCTCAACAAGTCAAATTTTCACATTGTGACGTAACTAAGATATTTCTTAATCGAGCTTAAAGCCAAAACGTAAATATTTTCCTCACAACGCTGCTTCATCCTTGCTCTGAATATAAACAAAAACCTATTCTGAAGTGTGTGGACAGATTTCCTTTCTCAAATGTGCACAAAACATAGTTGAACGTGAGCCTCCTTGCTTAGGAGCTTCCTTGCTTAGAGGCAAACATAAACATCAAACTAAAACAGTTAAGAAGCTCCGCCCTGCTCACTTTTTGTATTGCGAAGAATCAGTCATTGTCGTCCTCAGCGGAAAATCCTAATATACTGTAATTGCAAACTCGTACTGTAATATCTAGTCATGTTTGATATAGGTTTGTAAAGACATTTCCATGGAAAACATTTTTGTGATAAAAAGATGGAAAACTTTCGTTCATATTTATTAGTTTGTGAAATCGAATATAAACTATAAATTCAAAATCAGCTGAACATTTTTATGTTTGTGTAAATTTTGTAATTAATTTCACAGTTTAATTTTGAATCTCCATGTAAAACACGCAAGACAAAAAAGAAATGATTATATTCATTGTTGCCTTATGATGTTATTATTAATTAAGTTGAAATTTAGAGAAAGTTTCCTCACACGTATTTACTTTCATTTGATCTACTTGAAAATTTTCATAATTATGGGTCTAGTAATCTAATACATAATTTTATGCAATGAGATATTCAGATTACTCTGGGGGCAAATTTTTTGTTGCATTCGCGTAAGCATTTGATTTTTCCTAATTAGGGTGCAGAGATTTTAAATTTGATATTAGTTTTGTTTTGAAGGCGAAGGATTTTTTTTTCAAAATGGCATATTTAGTTTAGTTATGTTTCGTCTAAATGTACAAGTTTAGAAATAGGTATGGGTTTATGTACATACATTTTCACTTGTCTACACGTTTGAAAATAACTCATGTCAAAAACATATAACCTTAAACACTGATATCATTTTAACATTTCGCTTCGTTTGATTTCAGATGGATTACACCACAGTCAAGACTTTATAAAAGATTTGCTTTTCCAGACTATACCATTTGCATTTTTAGCGGTTGAAAACTTTTTCTTTATGAGGTAATTTTCCTTTATCATCATCATTAACATTTATCCTATCCATCTTGTAAATTTTGACACTAAAATGATACTTTCTTGTAAGTGGAAAGCATATTGGAGTTAAAAGAAATATAGTTTTTATTCTGGATAAAGAGGCACTGCTACAAAAATTAGCGGCCTGAGTTTTATTATGCCTTTTTTTCGAGTTTCATTAAATCTTGCGACATTACAATTTAAGACTTTTCTAAACAGTTTGCATTATTATATTGCCAGGAAACTTTGTAATATGGTTATCCAAATAATCAATGATAAGATTCGGCTATCAAAAAAATAAATAAATAAATAAACGGATTACTCTTATACCTTTAAAGACGTTTGGTTGGATCGTTTTCTTCAGCGTTATGGAACTATCTCAAGAAAATCTCTTAAATTACGTATAGCAGTTATCTGTAACCTTGGCCGAATATGCTTATTTTAAAGTAAAAATACATTTTTGTTGTAGAATCATATGAATTTTTTTAAGCATTTTATTTAGCGTGTGAAAGTAACCTCTGAAAATAAGTTTAAGGAAATTCAGACATTTTGGGCGATTTACAGAAACATGAATATTTTGCATAAAAAATATTTTTTGTTTTTTATTTTCATTGACCAGCACCGTAGGCAACATATGTCCTCTAGATACTTCGCTGTTGAGCTTGCTTTCGTTGTCATCAAGTATAGGACGATCAACATCACCTCAACAAGGAAAAAGGGAATTACACCCATGCCAAAAGCAAGATTCGAACTCGTATGTTTACAGGTATGAAGCCAACTTCTTGACCACCACACAGTTGGTTGGCTGCTTAAGAAAAATAAAGTTGGAAATTTGGACATTAGTAGAAGCAGATTACATAAAGCGCTAGGGAGTAGAGCTTTAAGTAATTCATAGCGAAACCTACTGATTAGTGCACTTAAGTTAATGTTACTTCGGATTCTTTTTTAATAGCATGGATTATACTTTTTATAAAATTTTCACTTGTAATTTCATACAATGAAAAAATCTAATTCAAAATTTACAACAAAAAAAAAGATAAACTAAAAAATTATAATAAAATATTCAAAGTTTTTCATGTGTTAACCCCCAATTTCGCACGATGTAGTAAATCTGGCTTAATGAAATAAATATTTGCTGTAGAAATTTTTTTCCTGAAGCAAAAACTAAGGATAAAACTTTTCCCGGCTATTTTAGCTAAACATGAGCAGTTTTGTTTCACTCATTTTCTTCTTTTAGTTTTTGTACAGACGCAACATATTACACCGTTTAATCTCGTTACTTTGATTATATGCATAGCTTTCGTTAGTTTGTTTTTCTTTCTTAGTTTTTGTACAAGCGCGCAACTTACAACAAAGTTTAATCCGGTTATTTGGATTATGTATATAACTTTCGTTAGTTTGCTTTGCTTCTCTCTTTTTCTTCTTTAAATTCTTGAACAGATCCACTTTGTAATACCGTTTATCTCGTTACTTTGATTGTGAGCATAATTTTCATTAGCTTTTTGCTTTACATTTAATATAATTAGAGGCTTAGAAATCTCCTTTTATCAAAGTCAAAAATATTTTTAAACTAAGAAATAAAATTTTCGTCGAAATGGAAGCAAATCAAAATAAAATAATTAAATAGAAGCAAGTTTAAATAAATCACCTAATAAATTCTGGTGCTAAGAATTTATTGTGTGCTAACTCTCGTGTGCATAACTCTCGTTAGTTTGTTTTGTTTCTCTCTTTTTCTTCTTTCAGTTTTTGTACAGACTCAACTTATAACACCGTTTAATCTCGTTGCTTTCATTATGTGCATAAGTTTCGTTATTTTTCTTTGTTTCGCTCTTTTCTTTCTTTTACTATTTGTTCAGACATAACTTGTAACTCTAATTAATCTCGTTACTTTGATTGTGTGCATAGTTTTCATTAGTTTTTTTCTTTACATTTATAGTTAGACGCTTAAAAATCTCACTTTATCAAAGTCAAAAAAATTTTTAAATTAAGAAATAAACTTTTTGACGAAGAAGGAGATAATCAAAATAAAATAACAATTAAATTGAAATAAATTTAAATAAAACAACTAATAGATCTCGGTGCTAAGAAACATAGGTTTCAGAAATTAGAATAATGATAGAAAGTTCTATTTTTTCTCTTTAAAAGCCATAAAATTTTTAATTAGAAAAATACGAAAAAAAACTATCGCATGCAAAATTATTTTAAATAACTTTGAATAATATTACCATATTTATGTAACATTGAATTGTTTTTTACATTACAAATGAATGGTTATTATTTTATAGAGACGCATATAAAGTTGGCATTTTGTACAAAAACCTTATATTTCATATTAACCTAAATACTAGTTTAATATTATTATTCTATAAAATTATATTCTATTATTATTCTTCAATTAGTTAGCAGTCCTTGCGAAAGCATCAACAATCTCATATTTCTATTTGAAGTAAGTGCTTCGTGAAAAAGTGGACATCAGATCAATTTTTTCGTGGCTTTGCTTTAGTGCAGCATTGAAATAAAAAATTTAAGTCTTTTCAAAATATATATCATAGAAATAAATAAAAATATAAATATGAAATAAGAATTTATTTTAAGATATCTTTATACAACACTTTAAAGATAAATCAGTACAGTTAATTCTCTTTCCTTTAGTATCAATAACTATTTGAAGTCGTCTATGAGAGACTTGAAAATGCTGAAAGCTGTTTCGTCCCATATTTTTTATCAAATTTTCCTTACACTTATTAATTGTCTTCATTCCAGCTATTTCAAGTTTATTTTTCATTATTTCCCACAAATTCACGATGGGATTAAGACCAGGGGATGAAGACAACTACATTTAAATGCATATTCCATTAACGTCCTGCCATTTTGAGGTTTGTCTTGAAGTGTAAGGACCGGCTTGGTCTTGTTGTAACCAAAAGCAGCATAGGTAAAATGTTTCCATAGTATGGATGTGGGAGGGAGCTTCCGCAAATTGTTAAAAACTTCAATTATTATTTTTTTTATGTTCAGAATGATATTCTATGCTTAACATTCTGTTGAGAAAATGATAGGTTTTCCTAGATTGTGGTCTTTTTTGAGCGCCTTCGTTATTTCCAGGCGTTTGTTCATACTAAAAACTTTAGCTCTGCTATTCCATTATGTTTCCAGGAGTTAAAAATATACATGCTTATAAAGGCAGAGTTGCCAACTGGATTCGAAATATTGTTTTTTTTTTAAATTAGAGAAATGTAGTTAATGCTAAACTTATTTCCCCTCCATCCGCATCAGCTCATCTTGATATTCTGGAATCTTGTTTCACTCATTTGAATGTTAGTTCCCTTGTTTATGAAACCAATTTCTACCTCTCCGTAACGCGTGGAAATGCATATTACACTGATTTTCCTTTCCTGACTGATTTGCCTGTCCCTTATTTGCCGCGAGGATGTTTTGAGTTTGTGTTTCGTACCAACTTTATGCTTTTTTAATTTGTTTCTGATGAGGTTACTAACTATTATGCTATAAAAATTTAGTTTTGGGGTAGTAACAGTGGATTGTGCCTCAGAGGTTACATCGGAGTGCAAAAGGTTAATATGGCGCTTTCTCGCTTTCTTTCTTTCCTTTTTTTTTTTTTTTTTTTTTTTTTTTTTTTTTTNTTTTTTTTTTTTCAAATAGGGTCTATAATTTGAAATCTGAATATTTTCATCAGACGTTAAACGAAGTAAAAGAGAAGTTTCTGGAATTTTATAGTTTGAATAAAATGTAATTTGTTTGCCTCGCTTTAGAACCCATTGACAAGCAATTTTTTGGATCAACTTCCATCAGGCCTGAAAGTGGGAAGGAAATTTTAAAAAAACTAATGGTAAATAGTTTAATTTCAGGAGAAAATTATATATTTCTTGATACATAAGTTATACATTTCTTGATTATGAGCTATTCATTATGATCATGGGTGAAAGCCCTTATATAGCAAGACGGAAAAGAGAAAAATCTGGTACGTAAAACATTTCATTCCAGCATTTTTTTCGAAAAAAATGAAATATCTGTAACTATCAAGATTTCTTTTATAATTCTGGCATATATATAGAACTGCTTCTTTTCCAAGATAAAGTAGATATTGTTGAAAAATTTAAAACAAGAATAAGTAAACTCCTCCCCAAAACTAGCTATAACTGAAATGGTTTTACTACCAGCTTTTCCTCTTTTCCGTCTCGCTTTCACCCCTGATTATGATTTACTTTTTTTCGAGTAAGAAGCAGAAGAATCTGGTGCAAAATTTCGAAAAACTTTGTTTCTTGAAAGCGGAATTTGATGATCTAGAACTTTCGTATTTTGCTAGTATTTAGAGTAAAACATAATTTTTCGGTCACAAACATTTGAAGGTGAACTTAGCGCATTTTTCTCCAAACGCTGAAAAAGTTGCTCATTTCGGATAGGGAAAGAATATAAATTTTTACTTATATTTATACTATAATTTATACTATTCTATGCCATTAAAAGTAAAAGATGGAAAGACAATTTTGAGTTACTTTGTAAATTATTGTGAATAAAATTGTAGATAAATGTTTATTGTTTATCATAAAATTATTTCTCTATTACTTTGTGCCTTACTAGTGTGCCTCAGTTTTAATTCTTTTTCGGAGCGGAATATAACACCCTGCAAAATTGACCAACTACGTGGTCATTAAATACATACTTTTTTTTCAAAACAAATACCTTCTGTGAAAAGTATAACCTCTAAGCTTCGATTCAAAAAGCCAATATTTTTGGTTTGATTAAAAAGACCATGAAATTGACTTAGGAAAGTAATCTTTGTGTTAGAACTTACTTTTAATTCCTAAAATTCAAGCTAAATGTTCTAAGAGAAAAGAGATGCTGAGAAAAATCCTGGATGTATCTTCTCTCTTTTGTACCATCTCTCTTTCTACTTGGCAAAGGCTTCTAAGACGTACTTTTGTAAATGAGCACACACGCCTGCTGGTAATTTGTGCCATTAACTAAATAAATAAATCAGAAACTGTTTTTGAAACGTGTTTGTTCCTCGTTAACAGTTTTTGTTATGTACCACAAACGGTTGAACTTTTTTCATGAATTCAAAAAAAAAAAAAAAAAAAAAAAANAAAAAAAAAACAAAAAAAAAAACAGATAAATAAATAACAAAACAAATAAATGAGTTAGAGGCTCTGCTTAATTCTATTAGTCTATGTTCACATTCGCATATGAGAATTTTTCGCACATAAAAAGGAGAATTTTTAGCATTTAAAGTTGCCAGTGAAAACGATCTTTACTGGCGATTTTACTTTCTCGAACAATCTCTATAGAATTTATAATCATAATTTATAATACAGAATTTATATTATAAAATTTTATCAGAAAAATTGTTATTTCATTTGGTTTGTTTGTTGGGTAAGAGTAGGGGAGGAGTCCTAGGGGCAGCCATCTACGCATGACGGGCAGCACTGCCCAAGGGAGCAAAATCCGGCAGTTGTAATTTATATTTGTTTTGAAAAAAATTGTAACTGTAATGTTCAAGTGGGTTGGACGTTTTGGCTAGAATTGCATGTCGCGTCACATGAATTACATGGGGCACCCTATTGTGTTTACTATAATAATCCTTCATTTAAACAGGGATTCTACGTACTGGAATTTTTTTTTTAAATGCTGGCAAAATGAAGTTACTTATTTTATTACATTAGTAACTTCCAGTGGTGGAATGTGTGCTTAAAAATATATAAAGTGATGCCAATAATAAAGCAGAAATCAATTTAAAGTAGTTAATAACGGCAACTTTTCTGTGACATTTGTTTCACGTATGATTAATTTAACAATATAACAGAACGTCAAGGTGATTGTTTTCGTAAATTTATACGATTAATAAACATAATGA